AATTTGGAAAACTGAATATTGTTCTTGACAAAGTGAGACAGACATACGAACAAACAGACAGTTTGTTACCCTCAGCGTGAATAGATCCTAATCAGTTGGACTTCTGGTGCTAGGTAACATGCCAGACATCAACGCCAAATCAGAGAACACGGTGAAACATTGCAAGTTGCCCACATTTATCTAAATAGATCATACTTTAAATGAGCAAGTGATCATCCATTTAGTGTATTTAATCAAATTTTGTTTTCTATTTTCTCCCAGTAAACGTGTTTATCAACACATGTGCACTAAATATACTGTACGTTTTTATTGCCCACCCCCCACTTAAAAAACAATTGCATCACAGAGGATGAATATATTTATGTATTATGTGCAAAGTGAGATTTCATTTATATTAATGATATCCTGTTAGTGTCTACACCATATATTTCACTTCCGTTACTAATATGCATTTGAAGCGAGATTTTCATTTATATAAAGGTTATGTTGCTTGTATATTTATCATGTATTTGACTTCCTTTACCTTCTCACGCTCGGCCAACGTGGATACTTGAAAAAGCTTGCCAGTAGCTCCCCGTGGGTCGGTTCTTCACTCACTGGTTACACTGGCCGCAATGTGTAGCCTATCTTGTGCTGAAAATATCATTAAACAACAACAGCTTCCTTTACTATTACGAATATGAATGAATTGCAACAGGACTATGTCAGTCAATAGAGAGGGTTACATTACAAAAAGATATTGCCAGACAATAAGACGATGATCGCTCTGTATTCGTTGTGTTTTCAGGACCTTGCAAACAGTTTTTGTTCCTTATCCTGTCTTTGTTCCACACTCGTAGCTGTATTCTTCTTTAAAGAACTAATAGAAAATCCCAGTTTTTTGGCAGTAAACACCGTTGATTTTTCTGTAACATTATTGCCAGTCCTAATAACATTTGATGAAATAGCACTGAGGAAATTATATACGGTGATTATATAATAATGTAATTACCAACCTTGAAAAGTCATTACATGTAATTTAATTCTGTAAAATGCAACTGGATTGCATGTTTGTTTTTATGATGCAGGTCACAACCAAATTGTTCGCCTCAGAAATGGAATCAAGAGCATAGTATAGAGATATTGGAAAGATCTTATCCTCAGAACCGTTTTTTAAAATTTATTTGTTTTTTTTTTTCATTCAATTTTAAAGGCTTTCTCTCATAACAGTGATGTTTTACGAAATAGGCAGGTGAACGCAATAATCCATTGTGATTATTTGATGCCTCGCGATTCTGAAATGGAGGTGATACGAGATATGAGGACTTTGAATAATGTACCTGACACAGCTTCTAAAGCAAAAATTGAGGTACAATGAGGTACAGGATAGTGATGCAAATGATTGTCAACAAGACAGCATGTGAATGAACTTAGTACGACTAGTGATACTATTCTATGGTCTGAAATTATGTTACAGACATGATCAAAAACCAACAAATTTTGTGAAGTTCAACAAAATAATTTATTTTCCTAGAATAGAAAGTGGAAATATAAAAACAACTTACAACATTGTGAATTTAATCACAAATAATCCTAAAAGTTCCATCATAAGTCTAAATGTATGAGTGGTGTTCAAATAAATTCCAATATTAAATGTGTTGTACCTTTAATCTAGAACGTGCTAATGTAACAATGGCCTGTAATGTGGCAATGTGTTAACAGTTTTTGGTGTATCACAATAACATAATCCAATATGTCATTTATTGAATTCAATATAATTTCAAATTATTGTTTTACTAAAATAATATTACATTGTAGTGCCTTTGACAATAAAAGAGCTGCATGGTTCTATTACATCGAGTAACTACGTAATGTGGTTATAATTGTCAATGATGACAATGTTAAAAATATTTTCATGTTTTTTATTTACTTGCTGAAATTTCTTGATTTTTAACTCATGCTAATATTGGTATGTTTGATGAAGAAATCACACCCATGTGAATATCTTATGACATTGTGTTTTGTATTGTCGAATATGAATGCAAGAACATCCACTGAGAATGATTACCCAGAGGTCATTGTTTTTTGTTTGATGCCATTTTGTAGCACACGATAGGCTATACATGGTGACCAGAATAACTGATGGCGAATGAACCCAGGTAAAATCACAGAAAGAACCAGTGACCCACGGGAAGCTATTGACAAGCTTTCTCACATACCCAATTGGCCGAGGCCGAGATTTGAACCCAAGCTGACAGTGTTAGATCACTTGATCACTTGTGGCCCCCTATCCAAAGGTCTGATTATTTATCTGTACTTTGTCAATACAATTACAAATTATATTAACAAAGTTTCTTCTTTAGATTCAAAACATTTATCATAAAAGCACTTTAACCGAGATAAATGTTTGAATCAACAGAGACGAAAATTCATTTATATTCGTAACTGTAATATTCTTTAAATAAGGAATAGACGGTGTGGTCAAGATAGAGACGTTGGTAAATTCACTTTTTGTAATCTATCTCTGACTGACTGTGACATTTAGAGTCTGGAGGCCCTGCCACTTATTTGAGGTTTCGAAATTATTAATCTAAAGATCTCCTTTAAGTAGTGGTAATTGTTTGTTTTTTTTTCCACTTATCTTTTTGTATCAACGGTATGGTAAACGCTTATAAAACACTGGGATTCGGAGAAAAAGAAAAAATAGTTTTGCACCATAATACATCACAGCAATTTAAGTGAATTATTATTATGTATTAAAACACAACAAAGCTGCTTCGGTAAATTAAACTGATTTAAATCGTATTGTTGAACAATTATTAATCATTCACAGAGTTCAACTAGCAAATAATTTGAAATTAGACGAAAAGAAGACCTTGGATTGGAATAATTTTTTAAAGTTAGGAATGTTCTACAATAAGGCCAAGAAATTATTTTGCATATATCCAGCACATATAAATGAATAAAACGAAGAAGAAGAAAAAAGTAGATTATATAAGAAAACTATTGAAAATATATCAATAACCAAACCAATATTACTAGAAATAAGTTTTAAAAATTCATTTTAAGAAACTGAAAATTTCTTAAAGCTCTTGAACAAGTCAGAATCAGGAGAATTTGGACGTGAAAAGTGAAAAGATGTATACCGTTTATAAAACTTGAACAGTGGCAGATTCTAATATCAATGATGACGAAATTCTTAGTGCGTACATTACTAATAAGGAAATTACTTCGCATGTTAAGAAACTTGAAAATTGTGAAGCTTTTGCCAATTATGCAATTCGACGTATAAAAGCAACTAAAAGTCTATGTTTCCCGTGCATAAAATGTTTTATTTTAACTTAATTCTTACTTCGGGAATTATACCAGCTGTTTGGTTGGAGGGGTGTGCAAGAAATTTGTATAAGGCCCCTGGAAGACAAATTAGTCCAGAGAATTAACGTCCAATAACTATATTGTTTCAAACATTGTTCACATAAATTTTGAACAAGACAAAATCAAAGTTTATCTAAATTTTAGTGTTCTAGAAGAACCCAAGGTAGGATTTTGTAAAGGTTCTCGATATGTCGTGAAAAGGTTCTCCATATGTCATATAAAGGTTCTCTATAGGTCATGTAAAAGTTCTCCATAGGTCATGTAAAGGTTCTCCATAGGTCATATAAAGGTTCTCCATAGGTCATGTAAAGGTTCTCCATAGGTCATGTAAAGGTTCTCCATATGTCGTGTAAAGGTTCTCCATATGTCATGTAAAGGTTTTCCATAGGTCATGTAAAGGTTCTCCATAGGTCATATAAAGGTTCTCCATAGGTCATATAAAGGTTCTCCATAGGTCATATTAAGGTTCTCCATAGGTCATGTAAAGGTTCACCATATGTCGTGCAAAGGTTCTCCATATGTCGTGTAAAGGTTCTCCATATGTCATGTAAAGGTTCTCCATATGTCGTGCAAAGGTTATCCATAGATCATATTTTTGTTTTAAATTTACTCATTCACATTCTTATATATAGGAGAAATAAATTATTTTCTTATTTTCTTGACTTTGAAAAAAAAAACCTGCTTGATTTGTTCTGGATATTTAGTTTTTGGCAAAAGCTGATTAAATGCAATATGATTGAAAATTGTTAAAGATAATTTAAAACACTTGCCAGGTATAAAATCTTGTATTAAATTTAACGTGAACAAAACAACTTTTTTGGCTTGTAATAATGGTTTTCAACAATGGGTAAATCGTTCATTTACTCTGTTCTTTATTTGTTGATGACCTTAAAATTATTTTTTTAGATGGTGGTAGTTTGGAAGTAGTTGATCTTTAAAACTAACTACGCGTCTTCTGCTCAAAATCCACTACGTTTTGCTATTCAATGAATTGTTTTGTTAATCAAACTCGTATAGACTCTAATGTTGTGTTTAAGGCAAGCCTGTATAGACCCTAACGTTGTGTTTATGGCAAGCCCGTATAGACCCTAATATTGTGTTTAAGACAAGCCCGTATAGACCCTAATGTTGTGTTTATGACAACCCCGTATAGACCATAATGTTGTGTTTAAGGCAAGCCCGTATAGACCCTAATGTTGTGTTTAAGGCAAGCCCGTATAGACCCTAATAGTGTGTCTATCACAAGCCCGTATAGACCCTAATGTTGTGTTTATGACAACCCCGTATAGACCCTAATGTTGTGTTTAAGGTAAGCCCGTATAGACCCTAATATTGTGTCTATCACAAGCCCGTATAGACCCTAATGTTGTGTTTATGACAAGCCCGTATAGACCCTAATGTGTCGTGTTTGTGATTTGTGTTTTTTAACGTAGCTTTAACAATTTTTCAGTCATATCGCTACGATGTCTGCAGTGTGGCAGTTTATAGTGATGTCTAGCACTGGGGCATCATGCCGCAGACATGTAGCATGATGTCCCATTCAGTCACATTATCTTGACACCAGGCCAACCAGTCCTAACACAAACCTCTTAATGCTGAGCGTCAAGCGAGGCAGCTGTTAGTACCATTTTTGTAAATCTTTGGTATGACTCGACCGGGGATCGAACACACGACCTCCCGCATCCGAGGCGGACGGACGCTCTAACCACTAGGCCACCGGAGCGGTTCATATAGACTCTAATGTTGTGTTTAAGACAAGCCAGTATAGACCCTAATCTTGTGCTTAAGATCAGAAGAAAATTCGATTATCTTTAGATCTGCAATTAAAATAATTTTTATGTACTATTATGCCGATAATTACCTAGGGAGAGTGAAAAATATTGGGACTCGAAAATCTGAATCAGTCAGAAAAAAATTATATCGAATTTCTCATACAAAAAAAATCATTTATAAAAATGTTCTCCTGTCTATACATTGCAGGCAACAATAGGCCGATATCAACTACACATCGTTACCATTTTCAATATGATTAAATTTTACCTTTTACTCTTCAAGCATGATATAAACAAGGTAGTCAAACATTTGCAACACAGTGAGCCACATGGATTTTAAATCTTAAGTTCGAATATATATATATATATATATATATATATATATATATATATATATATATATATATATATATATATATATATATATATATATATATATATATATATATATATATATATATATATATATATATATATATATATATATATATATATATATATATATATATAATGACTTTTTATTTGCACGGGCTAAAACATTTGATCTGCGGGTCTGTAATTGGACCAGTCTGGTACGCAGAATAATGAGCTTAGATGGTGTTTCCTTTTAACCGTAAATGGATAACGCATATAAAGACACTTTATTAAAAGGTAGGAATTATAATACATGGTTAAATAATATAAATAATATTGTACCATAAGGAAACATATTGAAACCGTTGTCTAAGATCAACAAACAAGACTGGTAGACAAATCGTTCCAATGACAACATTTTTTAAATTTAAAAAAAAAAACAACGGGTATTTAGTTGGAATACTATTTAATCAATTAGACCTTTTTAAAATGTGCTAGCCTATCTTTAACATTGGACGTCAAACCACAAAAATATATGAAGGAATACAATTTAAAATGAAGAAAGAAATGTTTCAAATGCGAGAACAATGTTTTGGGTTCTAAATTCCATGACCTTTTTGACTACAAATGCTTTAGCGAGGCTAGACAAAATTTGATTAAGAGACATTGGTATATACGTCCAATTACTTTGAAATGAAAACATATAACAAAAATAAAAATAACAGTCTCAGTATGAAACATATTTGTTAGCAATATTATGAACAGAGAAAAAAAAAACTGAAGAAGCCTCAATAGCTATATATGCTGATTTCAAATTCCAAACCTGTGAGACTCGTTTGAAAATATAGTGAAACACTGTATGTACTCGCTTATAAGTGAAACTCTTCTGCAAACTGCAAAGACCCAGATATGCCGTCGCATAAAGCAGATCGGGGTCTGTGCAGTTTGTTAAGAGTAATCAAACAACGTGTACCCTAGACTGCAGGAGCGTGTTGCTACGGCAGATTAAGATCGTTGTTGTTTTCAGTATGGTTCTACCTATAAGGGACGGTATATAAGATGCTAACCGATGACGTCACAAGCAGACGATATTTTTGCACATTTTTCCTGGACGATGGACACTTGGCAGTTTCTCCTTTATGCGATCGCCAAAATTTTCCATTTATAACAACGCACACGGAAGCAAAGCAAACTTATAAATCACAAATATAGATACTAACGGAAAGCTTGAATTGCGTTCTGTTTATGTATGTAACTTCCGTAATAGTATATTGAGATTCAATGAATTTATTTTAACTTCCAAACACCATATAAAGTCAACGATAAATCTGCCAGCTGACCACTTATGCCGGCTGATGACATCAGTCGAGAAAATCATTTAATTTCAATCCTTGTTCACCCCCCCCTCTCTCTCTCTCTCTCTCTCTCTCTCTCTCTCTCTCTCTCTCTCTCTCTCTCTCTCACACACACACACACACACACACACACACACACAAACACACACACCATGAATGAAGGATCATTGCATAACAGAACGTTGATTATATTTGATTTATATGATTTATATGTACCCTGGATAGTACGATTTGTTTTGTTTCTGTTGGGTTCTCAAATCAAGACTGCTAATGTATTTATTACAGAGCTAAATCGATGGTTCGGCAATAAAAGTCCACCATTGTCTTTAGTACATGGGCATGGGGCGAGGCACTCACTTAAGCCTCGTTTTCGATCAGCAAATAACAGCGTTACTTTTGATCATGGGCGGTTGGGAAACTCGTCTGTTGTCTGGCTGCCGCGGACCTACAAACGCTCTAGTACACACATTTTCGGCAGTAAAAACCTCTAAAATCGATATCAGTCTAAGATACGAATGGTCTCCTTACGATGAAAAATCCTTTTGAAACGAAGATGATTATCATAAATAAACAGTCTCAACCTGCCCCGGGATATTAATCCACGCGCCGCGCGTGTGCGGACAATATAGCGTCAAGAGACCAGTACAATGAGAGACTATTTGTACCAACGTTCAGGAAGGCTAACATTACTCAAGCTGACGTTTGTAATTAGTTAATGATATCAAATCTTTCTTTCCTATCATAATTACTGGGTCATAAATCGAAGACGAAAAGCACATGACCATTTAATAATGTTTAAAATACGGGTAGAGATTTCTTCTCGGCGCAAGGTACTTTTTGATATCTTATTTGTATAATGACCGACATTCGCACATCATGAAAATTAAAACCTGATCGAGTGTACAAGCTAACACAAAGCAAGCCGCCAGCCCCAAATAGCCATATTTCCTAATCCTTTCTGAAAGTTATAACGACACCGGTTAATGGTCATATCCAGGCTGGTGGATATTTATTTAATGGAGCCTGACGTTCGAAGTACCCGTAGAGATGAACAATGCGTACGGTTATTTTGGTTCGATTCCCTGGAATAGAATGTCAGTGACAACCATCTAAAACGAAATCTTCATTTTTATAGCCATATATGTCAAATATAGTTTATATCTGAGTAATTATCTGAAATGTCTTCATCAAATGGAGATCTCACCACTCTATTATAGCTCTGAAGACGTCTAGAACATAAACACAAAAATAAAACATATTCTCGTTCGCCATTGTTTGTGTACCAGACAAGAAAAAATATATTGAGTGTTTGCAATGAGTAGACATATTGTCTACTGTTAATGTATTTATCGCACCTAAAATATCAATTCAATTTACTTTAATGCAGATATGAAAATGCATAAATTAGACCTTTTTAGATCCTATTGTCGATAAGTTGTTAAGGTAACACTGATGTTTAAAGTGCAATTTACTGTCAACCGTCAACATAGGATACGGCACCTAAACACATGTTCAGAGATTGTTCACTGCAACGGAAAAATCTCCCCGGTTAATGAAAAAAGAGGCAAAGCAAATAAAAATTGTTGATGACGAGAAATGCAATAAAATTATATTGCTATCAATAATATCATTTTTATCTCGTATTAAAAATTGTTAACAAGCCAGCAGGTGGAATCAGTGCATAGTTATTACTGCAAGTAAATAAGAAGAAAAAAAGTGAGACATGTTTAAACTACATATAAGCGTTAAAATGGATGTTATTTTCAACTAGTATTGTCATGCGTGACCGACCAAATAAATAAATAAAAATAAATAAATAAAGCTATTGAAGTCTGCAGCAGAAAACATAAGTATCATCCTGCACTTTCCGCAATCATCCCAAGGGAAATGATGGATATTCCGAAAACGCATACACAAACTACCATAATCATATGCAAAAGTTTGAAGTCTCCGTCTAAAACTCTGAATGAGGAGCACTAAATTGCGCACGTACACAAGCACGCACGCCTAGGATCGCATACTCATCTTTTAACGATCGGAAAGTATGAGAATAATAACTCTGTTAAGCAGTAAATCTAGAAAGCCAGACACGAAAGAAATGCATGTATGCGTGTATTTACCAAATTCCTAAGGTTGCTAGGACCACACGTGACCGACAGGTATAATGCTCTCTCCTTTAGGACTCACGGTACTAATTCTGTAACCATAGTAAATCTATGCAAACACTATATTAAAAATTCTATAACTTAAAATTTCTGAGTGTTCATGATCAAACATATATTTATCAGTATATATAAAACCTGGATGTCAGCTTCTGTGCAGAGGGCAGGATACGAGACGCGGCAGTTTCTGGACCTGCATGTGTTTGAAACATGTGCTTTCAACTCCGCACCAATGAGTCGGTGCTAATTTTAGTAATGAGTGTTCCAAACTGAAGATTGTTAAAGGACTGGAATTCATCAATAAAGCAATGTTTCTAATTTAGAATAAGCTCTCAAAAGATTTTTTCCTAAAACAAAACCCATAGATACTCTAATAATTTTCACCTATTTCCAGGCTGGTTCCCATTTTTTCATACAATTAGTACCGTGTGGATTCGCGTTTGGGCTCGGTCATTGTGGGTATATAAGAGAGCTTGCCAATAGCTTCCCTTGGGTCGAGTAGTATTTTTTTCTGGTGTTTCTACCCGGTTCTTCCTCCACCAAATATACTGACCGCAATGTAAAGACTATAATGAGCTGTAAATGACTTTAAAACAACAAATCAACAACCTAAATTTTAGTTTTACACTAATTCAGCTCCTGTATTCTAGACCGAGTCTTCAATACCATCTCAAAAGTAAACTAATATGGTGTGATTGGTTCACACTAAATTTCGAGTTAAGAACCTAAATATTATTTATCTTCATGCTTGAACATTCGAAGAAACCAAAAAAGATACCCAAAAATTATAATAACAAATAATGTGCGTAGCCATTCAGGTCGTCTAAGTGTCAACAGCCTATAGACCCACAAACATAATTATGTAACAGAAAATGTAACGCTTAACCAACTGAAATGTATAGCGTTAGGCATAGAGAATTCCACGACGTGATTCCGCCTAAATACTAGAAGAAAATGCAGCAGGCATTCCAGCGAATGATCGACCGCTCGGCTCCGTTCAAGTAGCAAATAAGGATTAGGTATACGCGTACAGGGTGGGAATTTCTCAAAACTGCATTTTTAATCATTATCACACCCTGT